CTGAGGTAATGATGCCCGGTGCGACCAGGCCGACCCTTGAAATTACGTGCAACAACATTGGTCCCCAGTTTTTAGGATCGTAGCCTATTGATTTGAGCGCCGTCATATGCCCCGACAACGAGTCTATAAATTGTCGTAATTTTGAGGCGGTTTCTTTGGTGACGGGCTCAAGATCGAAAATCGCCTTAGTATGTGATTGGACGATTATTTTTTTGTTGTTGAACCGTTCGTTTAAACAGTTCCAAGCTACTAAATAATTTTTAGCTGAGGTTTCATACGATTGGATTACCTTTTCGGCGTCACCAGACAAAGCTGATTTTAAATAGAAAAACTTCTGTATCTCCGTGAGCGCTTCATTTGAATGTATTAATGCGATAAACATATCATTGAACGTTGACCATTGCTTATAGTCGCCACTAAAATTTGGTACGTTTAAAGCAGCACAGCTTGACTTCTCCAATGCTGCGTTTAGAAAGAACGAGTGTACAATCGAATTATTTACGCCCTGCACAGGACCAGCCACTATCCAACCGAATACCGTTTCTTGAAATGTTGGACCGTTTTTAATTACTTTAACTACGAACGCCTTTTTAGCCGCGCTACGAAGATTCTGGTCACGACGCGGAATGTGTAGTACAATTTACTCCGACAACGGAACCAACTTTGTCGGAGCAAATCGGCAGCTTCAAGAGCTTCGTGATTTATTTTTATCAAAACAGCACATGGATCTTGTGCAAGAAACAGTTGCGGAAGTTGGAGTGAAATGGCAGTTTATTCCTCCTAGAGCTCCTCACTTCGGCGGGCTCTGGGAAGCTGCCGTAAAATCGATTAAATTTCACTTAACGAGGCATTTGGGAAATGCTCATTTAACTTATGAAGAAATGAACACCGTGTTAGTTCGCATAGAAGCATGTCTAAATTCACGTCCCTTAACTCCCATGTCCCCTGATCCTACCAAATTAAATTCTGAACACATAACATTGTAACATATTTATAATTAAAGACACAAGTTCCATAGAGATGGTTACTGTGGACTGAGGTAATGATGCCCGGTGCGACCAGGCCGACCCGTAATTGATTACACGTAATAATTTAGGTTACTGTGGACTGAGGTAATGATGCCCGGTGCGACCAGGCCGACCC